GATGGGCTTTTTGTATTTTTTTTTTTTTTTTTTTTTTTTGTGGATAATTTTACTATACCTCTAACTTTTAATTAAGGTGCGGTTTTTTACAACTCTGTCCTCTGACACATGTTAGACAGCTGAAATCCAGGTGCTCAAAATAGAGGTCAAGATATCAAACTGACCTAAAACCTGCATTGAATTTAATCCTATGGTTTTGACATGGAGCTGCAGTAGCCCTGTTGGGGGGGGGGGGAAGAGCAACTGAAGCCCATCTGAACATGGCTGCAGTGAAGCACAGGCTCTCCAGATTCGTAACATTTGTGAACCAGTGTTGCACCTTCAAGCTTTAAAGAAAGCTGGCATAGCCCCTCATATGCCACACATACAAACACAGGTGTCGCTCCCTCTTCCAAACAAAGGAAATGAGAATTATAATACCGTTAGTTTAGAACGTACCGCATGTTGACATGAACGTGTTTTGCACCTTTAAACTAATGACATTTTCACATAAAAAGAATGTGACTTGTGTTGCACGTCAAAAGCACTTAAATGAAAAATCCTGAAGTTGCACATGACACGCATGAGCTCAAAACATCTTCCAAAAAAAGATGGACATGCGTGAATTCAGAGGATAACCGGAAAAAAGTTCTTTATTGAGATACTGAAAGATCATAAAACTCCTGTTTTTAACAGAAGGAATCAATTAAAATGTGCAAACATAGTATTACCGTTTGACAGGATTTAAGATAGGATGCTGCTGTAACTCATGACTTCCTAGGATGCTACCGGCTTCTCCAGAGGGAAATTATGTAATTGTTTTTCTTATATTATCAATTATCTCCTGAGAAGTTAATCATAAGTTATCAACAAGGCAATGATTCAAGATACCCGCTAGCCTCTGTGTAGATTTTCCATTTGGTTATAGCCTATTTCACTTCAACTTAATGTCATAAAAATGTGTGCAGCATGGAGTACTGTCTGTTAAAGAGTCTGTTCAAGATGCACTGCCACAATATAACAACTTTAAATATTACAAGAGCAAAATGGTTGAATGCAGCAGCTTTAAACACTGTCTCCTCTAACTCGACTTGACCTTAACAAATTAAATTAATATTGACAGAATTGTTTGCAGTAAGACATTGTTCTGTAGAAGAGTCAGACTTTTTGGTCACACCGGAAGAAAAAAAAGAAGTTTCTTACTTTGCCCCCTTTTCCCTGAATATATTTGAGCATTTATTTGTAAAACAGTTGGAGCTGAGAAAGTGACATTGGTTGGGCCAGTTTGATTAAATCCACTGACAGACAATGGAAAATTCTGACAAGGTTTGAGCCACACCTGGAATGTCGACCTTGTTGTTTTAAAAGTTCAATAGAAACATATTTTAACCCCAGAAGACTACTAAACCATTGTCAATGAGAGTCAGTTTGTTATCATTAAAATTGGAGGTCAAGGTATAAACATTTGTTGTTTTAAGATTTAGACTTAAACACAAGACTTTTGATTCTTATTGTTTTAACTCAGTTTTATGTGTTTTTGTTTTCATGTTGTTTTGATTTGTCTTATTGCAAAGCACTTGCACTTGAAATTGTTAAATAGTTCGGTTTATTATTTCACAAGTAAAAAATTAAAGAAAGGTCTTCTCAAACGTGTATGGCCTGTAATTCTTTTACAGGTCCCCACTCTTTTAACAACCGCTTTACACTAAAAGACCACAGACACCTCCACATGAATACAAACAGTGAGACCACCGCTCACTGTCGCCTCCTCTGAGCCACATTTTATACAAGTGTTTGGATTTCTTTTTCCAGGGTTGTAGGGAGCATAGTCTGACATAGTGAACATCTTCCCAGTAGTCTCTCCCATGCTCGTAGCTGCTGCTAGCATGACTGACTGAGCCTGGGGGATACTGGCCGGTCAGGAACATGAAGTTGTAGTAAGTAAGTCAATTTAAATATAAACATAAAACAACAAAGGGATTGGAGTCAGATGTGTCCTGTTTCCTTATATCAGACTGTCAATACGTAAATGAATCATGTGCATATGTCCCCCCCACTTTGTTTTTTAGATGTCAATATTGCTGAGGTTTGATGCGTCTACTGAGTCAGTCACCAGCAGCTGTCTGTTGTTAACTCATTAAGCTGTGATTGGTCGGTTCTGATCTCAGGTAACTCTTATAACGCTCCACATCGAACAGTTTGTCATGCCTTGTCCTTCAAGATGGTGACTGCACGGTTCCGCTCAGGGTAAATAGTGGGGTTTTGTCATGTTGACTGGTTACTGGGAAACACTTGTTGATGTTGTCTTTTTATTTCAGGGCTTCCATCTTTGCTCTGCTGATTGTGGACATTTGCTGCTTTCCTTATAAGAAAGGTAAAGTATCATTCACTCTAGTAAAACATGTTTCACTTTAATTCACTTCTGATTTAATCTGTATTTTCTTGTGCAGGCTCTAATCCCGACGCTTCCTATGGCAGCAGTTACCCAGACGCTGCTCCTGTTTTGGGCTCGTACCAGGGAGCTCCTTCTGGCCCGTTTTCACCTGCAGTTGTTATGCCTAACAAAACTCCTTCTAAAGGCATCCCACTATCTTATCAGGCTGAACCACAGCCGGGGCCCAGTGCCCCTCAGCCTATTGCTCAAAGAGTACCGGTACCATCTGTTGCCTCCATTTCTTCTGGACCTGTGTTCTCAGGATACGGAGACACTTCAGTGAGGAAAAGCCCTGCCGGCTCTGTACAACCAGGAGCTGCTTTTCAACCTGGTCCTCAAGGTAAAAATCTGATGCTTATTGTTCTGTGACTCTACGATTTGGTAACTTTGTTAAGTTTACGGCCATAATCGCTAGCAAGTCTTGCTTGACCCATGTCTTGAACAAATGTCATTGTGAGTTTCATACTAGTCTATATTCCCGTTCTCAGACAACTGGGCTTCTCCCAGTCTCTCTGGAGGTGAGGCGTTGGCTCCAGTTTTCCCTGAAGAAGTGAGACCAATTGAACCAATGTACAAGGCGGGAGCGTTGTCCCAGTTTGAGAAAAGCTTTGATTATGGCAACAACGAGAGGGAGACTGAGGAACAAGGCAGGCTCCCTGGTCCTCCACCACTGTTCTTGCAGCAAGAATATGTTGGACAAGGCTTCATCAGCCAACCTAATCCAGACTCCAACATCGCTGTAAGCTCTCTCCCTTACCCTTACCCCTACCCCTACCCTTACTACGACTTCATGTTCCTGACCGGCCAGTATCCTCCAGGCACAGTCAGTCACGCCAGCAACAGCTACGAGCATGGGAGCAACTACTATGATGACGTTCACTATGTGAGAGACAATGTTCCCGAGCAGCCGATGGAGCCCTTCACTCGTTTTGTAGACCCTCAGAGCTTTAAGGATCCCTATCCTGTGATGGCTGGTTATAGACAAGGTGGTGGCGCACAGGTTGGTGGACCTGCCTCTTCCCATGGACGCTTCAGGCAACCAGTTGGCAGCCAAGCTGGTGGCCACAACCTGGGCAAGGTATGTTGATGAAATGTATTTGCACAAATGATGACTAGGTTGTGTAAATAGTACTAATGTTTCGCTTATCCTTTCAGGGTGGATACTGAGTGTGGATCTATACAATGTGAACAAAGATATCTGAATTTAATAAAAATATTGTCCAAAACAAAGTAGCTGGTTTTCTTTAAGCTGACTGGTTACGGCGGCGGAATTGTTGTATTAATGGTTGAAATTGAGGATTTACAAACCAAACATTTAGGGGACCCACAGAGTACCAAAATGACTTAATATAACTCTGTCCTTTCTGTTCACATGAGGTTACTTTGTATAACTGTCATGTTTACACATCTGAGTTCTGTTTTCAACAGAATATATACGGCCTTCCATTAGCTCAAGATTAATTTATTTCAATTATGAAAGGTATGAGTTTTTTGCAGTCTATCTTTCCCAGAAGAGGACTGGCTTGATGGACACAAATGGCACATATTGCTTATGCAACTTTAGGATTTACCATAAAGGCTTTTGATTTGTTATGCAGGTCTTTTTCTCATGTAAAACTCCCATTGCTTTAAATGTGCAGCGCACATGTCTGTTTCCTTATTTGCCAGGTGCTGTCATGCGTCCATGCAGGTGACGAAAATCACATTTGAATGTTCTGTGTGAGGGACTGTGCCGTGTCTTGTGCTGCAAAAAAGACAAAAGTAAAACTATTGCTGACTTCAGTTTAAAGACGGCTATATTTGGTAATAACGCAAATGTACCTAAATTGTCTAAACATCACACCTGTTACAAGTACACCCAACTAGAACAAAGCACCGTGCACTTGGTCCTCAAACACTCCAACTTGTTTTATAGACCATATTTTTCTCTATTACCCAGCTGATGGGCTTTTTGTATTTTTTTTTTTTTTTTTTTTTTTTTTTTTTTTTTTTTTTTTTTTTT